ATTTAGGCAAACTTTTCCCACATCATCTTTCACTAGACCAGATATACATCTTGACAATAGACAAAGAAACATGGAAGAGGGAAAACAATATCTTAAGTACCTGTATAGCTGCTCCATTGAACAGAAGGTCATTTATGACAAATATGCCCCTCTACTCTCCCTATAAAACTCATAGGATTTGTTTTTGATGGCTGTTTTGCATGTTTTAAGTATATTTGGTTTGCAGATTCAAGAGCAGGAAGTACCCTTCCTGTAGCTTCATAGTGAAAGTCCCTTGATGAATAAGGCTACTGAAGCTGTAAATATAGACACCTTCACCCGCTTTCCTTTCCCCTTTCTTTCTCACATCTATCTTTCTATTCTCTGTCTCTTCATTAGAATAGTCTCTTGTAATCTGCATTTTTAGTCTTTTCTTGTCTCTCACTCTGTGGAGATGAAAACTTCATTCTGGTTACAGGTACTTCAAAAAGTACTTCCAGTACCACTGGCTCTTACCCTATATTCAGTTTTTAAATTTCCTCCACCACTCTTTCCCAAACAATGATTTAATGTATTTCATTCTCTTTACCCCCGAATCATCCTCCTTCTCTCTTGACAATCATCTACCCCCTTCCAATGGCACTTCTGGAATCCACAATAACTAGTTAATTTTTATGATTTAAGCAACTTTGATTGCCTAATCCCCCAAGTTTTAGATGTCTGTAAAGTTCCTGATGAGCCTGGGATGCTCTCATAACCTTATTAAAACAGCAAACCAATTCTAGGAAATGCACATTTTCCATCATAATTCATATTTTATCCCTCCAACCCAATCTACATGTTTATCTACCTCAGGACTTGTCTAAAATGTAATAACCAGAACTGCTCATCCTCCTCTTGCTCTAGACCAGCATTTCTCATATACAGCATGCTGGCTGCATGCGGCCACAGCCTCCTGGGTGGTCATGGGGGGTGGCAAAGCTGTGGCCCTCTCCCCCAGGGCTGCCAGCAGTGGTTGGACCCTGCCCACCTCTGGAGATACAAAAGCTGGAGGAGCAGGCAGCCAGTGAGTTCCCCACCTTCCCAGGGCTGGTGGGGTCAGGATTCAGCCCTTGGGTGGTGGATGGCAGGCTCCAGCCACGGGGCTTCAGGCTCCATTCCCCTGCTGTACAGTGGCGGGCTCTGCCCCAAGTCACCCCCCGCCCCTCCAATGCCCCTGGCCCCTGCTGCCTCCATATCCATCTCCCCATCCAGGGCTTGTCAGGGTTGAGTAAGTCTGCTGTGAAAAGTGATATTTCTATGTTTGTTAACATCATTTTTCACAGCAGACTTAGTAATTAGCACGTCTTTTAAAAAAAGCAACCAAAAAAAGCAAAAGACAAGGGGAAAGAAAAAAGAAAAAGAAAAAAAAAAAAAAAAACAAGAACATACAAAGCACCTTATTTGTGTTTCTAGTCTGTTTAGGTCCAGTAAAGAATAGAGACAACTGTACATTGTTTTTATTATTGAGTCTGGAAAAAAAATCCTATGTAAATAAATTACAATGATTTGGACATATATACACCTCTAACCCGATATAACGCGATCCAATATAACATGAATTCGGATATAACGCGGTAAAGCAGTGCTCCGGGGGGGGGGGGCTGCGGTGGATCAAAGCAAGTTCAATATAACGCAGT